CACAAAAAAAGAAGACAGGAATGTAGTTAGTGATCATGAAAAGAGAGATTTCTTGAAAACAGCAAAGGAGGGCCGGGGATTTAGCTCAGTGTTTTCGCTGCCTGCTGCACAAGCACAAGGACCCAAGTTCGATCCCCAGTACCAAAAAAATAAAATAAAATAAAATGACAATGTTCTGAAGAGGCAGGCAGGAGGCAGGAGCTGGCTGCACAGTCTGGGGGACCAAGGTGAGCAGTCTGACTTTACCCTGGCAGTGACAGGTGTCCCCTGCAGTTTCACACCGGGCAGCACAATGCTCTGGTTACAGATCTCTGTGGCTGCTAAACGGGCACTGAGGTGGCAGCCATGGTCTGGAAATAGCACAGCAGTAAAAAAGCCCCTACCACAACACACATGGCAACTTGCAGAAGCAGGAAGTTGCATGAGTTGAGTGGAGGGGTGTGGATACCAGTGATGGAGAACTGCCAAGTCCAAGCAGGACTGGAAGGAGGAGAGCTTCTGGGAGCCTGAGGTCCAGGAAGGGTAAAGGCAGTGGCAAGGGCATGCAAGGTGCCAATGTTCAGGCATCTGTGCCCATGTGGAGTAGGGGGTCACATGGGGCTGGGCTTGGAAGTGGACTCTGGACCAGAGACCTTAAGCCTGGGTGGGAGGGCAGCTGGAGTGAGAATGGGGGGTGGGGTTGGTCCAAGATACCTGAGCGCAAGTTCCCGATCCACACCAAAGCCCCAGAAGAGGCAATGAGGAATAGTCTCAGTAGAGGGCAGAGAACAAGGAATACCAGGCAGGTTCAGGGAGGTCTGCCCAGGGCCTGACCCTAGACTGTGAATGAGACCCTCAGGAATCTTCTGGTCCAGAGAAGGACATCCTGTTTCCTCACCTTCACTCCACCCTCTGTGTAGCAGCCACATAGGCCTCCAATGTTTCTAGGCCACTGTGTTGCAGGGCCTGTGGCTCTGTGTCCCTTGCTTTTTGCCCACAGCCAGCTCCTTCCTCTTCAGATCTCTGCCCAGGCCTTTTCCTGGGAAGGCATCCAAGCCTTGCAGCAAAGGCTTCCATATTTCTGGCACCTCAAGTTCCCTCACCTATGAAAAGCCCACCTTGGTCATCAGAAACACTGCTAAGGGCCTTGTCCCTCCCACTATCTGCTGAGTGTAGGTGCTCAACAAACCATTCCTGAAGCCACAATGCAGGGCTGGCCCTGGTAGTTCACCCAGCTTCCCTGCTCATTACTGTCTTCTGGGCCCAGGTGAGGATATAACCAGTGGCCTGCCAGAAGGCCCAGGAGCTTTCCTCTGGACTGGGGTCTATGTGGACCATTCCTGTTTCCTCCGCCTCCTTTCTCCTCTCATTCAACAAATACACACGAATATCCTACCCTATGCTCAGCACTGTGCTGGAACCATGCCAGAACAGACTTGCCCCTGCCCTCACAATGCTTGTATCCTGTGGTGTGAGTGGCAAGAGATAACCAGATGAGTGTTTCCTATCCAGGTCTTTTTTTTTTGAGACAGGGTCTCGCTTTGTAGTTCAGGCTGGCCCTGAACTCACTATGTAGCCCAGGCAAGCCTTAAGCTCGTGACAATCCTCCTGCCTCAGCCTTGAGTTCGAGGATTAACAGGCGTATGCCACCATGCCCAGCATATCCAGTTCTGATTATATGCACTCACATAGTCCTCCCAATTTTATTCAACCAGCTATCTTTGTAAAGTACCGCAATCACTTGTCTCCAACTTGTACTTTTCCTGAACTACTCAAGACGTGGCCAGACAAGTATACTTCCAGGATGTTCCCAACATCTGTGACCTAGTCTTCCATCTCATGAACTCCAAGATAGTACTCAGCAAACACCTGCCTTCATAAATCTTCATTAAGCATCCAGTTGTTACCCACTCAAAACACGTGTAGTGAAACTAAAATGATATTCTGTTGTAATCCTATGACAAGTTGCTTAACTTCTGCATCCACTGGCAAAATTGGGACAATTAATTGCCCATATCTGACCTGAGGGAACTCAAACTCTGGGGCCTCTGTGTATAATCCTTGTCTTGTGGATGGATGATCCAAAGCCAGAGCTTATCTCTCACTTCCTTCTCTACTTCTAACCCCCCCCAGCTGGCAACCACTAGTCCCCGTGGTCCTTTTTATCAACGACAGCTTAGCTGTAGTCCCTTGTGTCAAATAGAATTGGATTGGAGGTTCAGAAAATTCCAAACAATGGCTTAAACAAGGTGGAAATTTCTTTCTCCTTCCTGCAAGTGAAGCCAGGTTCTAACACTCAGAACAGCCAGGGCACCGTCAGCTGTCTCCCTTTCTTTTGTTTTTGTTTTTGTTTTTTTTTTTTGGTACCAGGGATTGAACTCGGGTCCTTGCGCTTGTGCAGCAGGCGGCGAAACCACTGAGCTAAATCCCCGGCCCTGTCTCCCTTTCTTTAGCATGGTGGCACCTTCTGGCCCAGACACTCAATGCAAGCATAGCTTCATAGGGGAATGTAGTTTGGAGGAGCCAGTCTCTGTGGAAGGTCTGTTCTTAAATTTGCCCTTGCCCATACACTGTTGGCCACAGCGTAGCCCAAAGAGCATGCTTAGCTGTGTATATGTAGGAGTGCCTTCTTTCAAGGTGGACTGTGCTCATGCTCAACTTCGAGTTCTATTAAGGAAGCTGAAAGGGATACTAGAGGACAAACTGTGCCAGTCCTCAACCACACATTCAGCACCTTATACCTACCCCTTTTATATTTCTGTTACACCTATCTACCTACCTATCTACCTTCCTTCCTACCTGTCAACCTACTGGGGAGTACTGGAGATTGAACCTAGGGCCTCACACATGCTGGATAAGCATTCTACTACTGAGCTACATCCCCAGCCCTTCTTCTTAGGTCAGGATCTTGCTAAGTTGTCCATGCTGGCTTTGAACTTTTGATGTTCCTGCCTCAAGCCTCCCAAGTAGCTGGTACAACCTTTTTGTTGTTGTTGTTGGAGATAGTGTATTGCTGTTGTCTCAGCTTTGGAGGGCTGGGACTACAGAACTGTATCATTGTCTGGCTTTTCCCCTCACACTTTTATTTACTTTTGGTTTTTTGAGACATAGTCTCACTCTGCAGTTTAGGCTGGCCTCCAACTTAAAAAATGTAGCCCAGGGCCAGGGATGCAGCTCAGTGGTGCTGCACCTGCCTCACAAGCACAAGGTCCTGAGTTCAATCCCTGGCACCAAAAAAAAAGAAAAAAAAGAAAGCCCAGGCTGGCCTCAAACTTGCAGCAATCTTCCTGCCTCAGCCTCCCAACTGCTGGAATTATGTGTGCACCACCTGTTTGGTTCTTCCCTTGCACTTTAAAAAAAAATGTGCTGAACAAGTGACATTAAGGAAAGTCAGGACACAAATCCTGCCTCCCCAAAAACTCAGCTCTTTTCACTAGTCCCTCTCAAAGCTTGTATTCAAAGTTTTGCCATGTTCAGAAAATAAGTGAGATGATTTGTTTTCTTCTCACTTATCTGTCCCACAATTCAGTGTTCTTTTCATTTGTGCTTTAAGTGATGCCAAAATGTAGTTAAAAAACAGCTGAGGCCAAAGTCCAGCTAAAACGCCAGGAGAGGGTTCTGTACCCAGAGTCAACTCACCAAGGCACATGTGGCCCATGGACAAGACAATCTGGTCTGAGTTGGTAGGGGAAAGCCTGCAATGCCACCTGGGAGGTGCTGCTGGGGCACTGAGAGGTGGTGAATAGCAGGGCTGAAGGCAGACAAATCAGTGAGTGAGGTCCCCCACATTTCCTCCATGCTAGACATGCGACATAAGCCACTACCTAACGGGGATCAGTTTTCTCTGGAGACCTCAGAACTCCAGGACCTGGAGCTCACTGGCTGATCACCCTATGGAACTAAGTCAACAAGACCCTCATCTCCAGAGTTAAAGAATGCTTCCCCTGGGAAGATAACCCTGCCCCAGAGGCAGCGGAGTCAGAGGAAGGGTGGGGGTGCAGGGCTGTACTGAAGGGACCCTGGCCGTTGGCTGATCCTAATGGATCTTTTGGTTTCTCAAGGCAGGGCACTCACTTTTCTTGTTATTGGGCATTGAACTAACAGCCTCACACATGACAGCCAAGTGGTCTACCACTGAGCTAAACCCCTAGCACTTTTACTTTTCAAAAAAATTCTGAGACATGGATTGCTAAATTGTTCAGATTGGCCTTAAACATGTGGTCTTCCTGCTTCAGTCTCCTGAGCAGCTGGGATTACGTGTGTAGCACCATTCCCAGCTTGTCTTCCTTTCTAACACCAAGACCTACATATAGCTGTTTCTGGCCAAAGGACCTTACCTTCCACTGATGTCTCCCCAGCCTTGGTACTAAGGTCCCAGACATGGTCTAATGTCACTGAGGGCCACACTCAGCTTTTTCCTTCCTTCCAGGATGAATGCTACACAATTCCTTTTTCAGGTCTAAGTACAGTAATGAGCTCCTTAGGTAGGTACATACCTGTAATCCAAGCACTTAAGAGGCCAAAGCAGGAGGATCGCCACAAGTTGGAGGCCAGTATGGGCTACATAGTGAGTTCATGAACAGCCTGAACTACATAGCAAGACCCTGTTTAAAAAAACAAAAAACAAAAACCAAAAAACCCTGCTCTTCTCTGTGCTTGTCTGTCAGTGCCCTCCCACTTTGGGGTTCTCACTGTTCATGGCTCATTGTTTCTGGGTGTCAGCTTGGCTTCAGGTACTGTCTCTGCCCTGCTATGCCGGCCCCTGTTCCCAGCACTGGAGAATGGTACATAGGACCCTCTAGGCCAGGATGTAGCCTCTAGGACTGAGTATGCACTTGTTCTTTCAAAGCCTGGGCCAAGGCCACCTGCAGCTCTCCTGGTGCTGAGCTCCCCTTCCTGATAGCAGTGTCCCAGGAGGGACACCATCTAGGAGGGGACCAGGGCAGTCCCTCAAGAAGGTATGCAGCAACACCCAGCTCATGCCTCAGACCCCTGTACGAAAGTGGTCCAAGAGCCCAAAGAACAGCTGAAACAGAGCACTTATTTATTTTCCAGGGAAGAGGTAGAATGGGGGTCTTGGGTAGCCCTGCCCCAGCATGTGTCCAGACAGCAGACCTCACTTCCAGAAAAGAACATTCCAGAAGAGGAGCCAGCAGGGATACAGGCCCAAAGCCAGCAGTGGGAAGAGCAGGGCACCGTAAGTGTGGTGCTCTAGCACGCCTTGTGCCAGTGCTGACAGGAAAAGCTGCCAGCCCTCAGCCAGTGACAGTGGCATCTCCTGCAGTTCTCGCCACAGGAACAAGCTGCCCAGGAGCACAGCTGCTGGACTGGTCAACACCAGCAGGGCAGCATAGAGTGGCCTGGGTAGAGAGGCAATGTCAGGGTAGACTCTGCCGTGGGGCAGTGGACTGAATGAGGGGGGTACCAAATATCACATACCGGGGCCCATGGGGCTTGGTGAGTACAGCAGCAGGCACCATGGTGGCAGCTAGCAGGAAGCCCAGTGAGAAATTTGTGAGGGTAATGCAGCCCAGCTGTAGTGCTAGGTAAATCAGGGCCACCAGTTTCAGGGCCATCCAGCCCCTGTCTGGAGCCTGTGTGGTCACTACCCTGCAAAGAGAAAGGCTCAGTCAGTCTGCCTGGCATGGCCAGGGGCCCCTGCTTCCACCTGCCCTGCCCAGTGCCTCACCGGTGTGTGTTGTGTGGAAGGGCCAGGCCAGCTGCATAAATTGCCAGCAGTGTCAGCACCACAGCCTCAGACTCAGATACTGGGAAGTGCTGGGTGGCCACGTGTTGGCCCAGCACAGGCAGGATGTAGAGGGCTAGGCCCACAGCCTGAGAGATCAGAAGGGGTGCGACGAGCGAGGCCAGCCCCACACCCTGAAGGACACAGGGGGATCTGAAGATGGGGCCTGGGGTCAGGAGAGACCACTACCACCACCTCTCCAGGCTGATGCTGAGTGACAGCAGAAAGTACCACCTGGGGCCCTAGAAGCCCACCCATACAGCAGAAAGGGGCATCATCACCTGTGCTGAGAGGAGGGAGGAGCTGGGTCCAGGGGACCCCCCACCCTCTTCAGGGCCCACTCCAGCCTCGTGCAGTTGCATCCACAGCTCCAGAGCATGGTCTGAGTCAAGGACCTCACAAAAGATTTGATAGGATCTGCTGGGTGGGGCCCAGGGTTCCTCCTACCCCACCCCCATACCAACATGAAGGATCACCCCCAACCTAATGTAGAGGGGATCCAAGGTTGGCTATAAGTGGATAGTGTGGGTGCAGGATATCTTGAGACCAAGGACCAGGAGCAAGAAGCCGGCAGCAGGCATGTAGAGACCGATGGAGACGAATCGAGAGAGGGCAGGGAGCAGGTAGAAAAAGAAGGACTGGTGCAGGCGTTCCAAGAGATGGTTGAGCTTTCGGAACATGCCCTCTAAAGCCCTGTCAAGAGTCAGGATGCAGAAGATAAAGGTCAGTCATCTTTCCTTCAACCCTGCTGACACTGCCCCAAACATGGAGGGTGAACCATAGGCTACTTACTTTCCCACTGCTACCAAGTCATACTTGTACTGACGGAAGCTATTGATGCCACGAAGGGTGAGAGCCTCCACCCCATAGCGCAGAAAGAGGCCATGGGGGCCATGGGAGCGGCCAGAGGCCTGCCGCAGAACCATCAGCAGCAGGGTCTGCAGGCCCTGCAGTGGTCCGTCCAGCGATGTCCAGTCCTGGGGCTGCAGCTTTGGAGGCACAGGGACAGATTAGATAAACCCCTAACCAGAGGCCCTGTTCTCCCAGACAGGTGGTCCCACCTTGCCCTGAAGTGTACACAGCAGCCCCCCTTTCTGGCAGAAGGTCTGGAACAGGTTGAGCAGGTCAAGATTGGGCAGCTGTCCATTGAGTCCCTCCACAATCACGTCAAGGCTGGTAACCACATCACTGCTCAGCTCTAGAGCTACTGCTGCCTGAATGGCCCCAGCCCGGCCCTGCAGGAAGGATGATTGCATGCCTGTAGAGTCAAGCAAACAAGCATCAGAAGGGGCAATGGTGAGGACAATTGACTCTGACAGGGACCAAGACAAGGCAAGAGTACCTACCAGTAACATTGACATCGTGATAGGCTTCAAGCCAAGCCTCAGTGCCCAGAAGATCATGTTCGGTCACTAGGAAGATGATATCTTTGGCCCAGTAAATCTGTCCTGGAGACCAAAGGTGGGGTCACTAGAGTCTGGAGCACTGGCCAACCCCCCACCCCCACCCCCCAGCCAGCAGCCCAAGCCTCACCTCGGAAATGGGCAGCAAGTGCTAGCAGCAGCCCCACCGCTTGGCTATTGGTAGAGTCTGGGCCACAAGGAACAGTGAGCACCAGGGACTCGGTGCTGGCAGCACGAAGGGCCCGCAAGATGCCATACACGTTGGTGCCTGACACCATCTGCACAAAGGATTGGTGGAGGAGCCTCATTGTAACTCCATGGCAAAAGGATGAAGCAGCCCCATTCTCCTGGCCATACAGTGTTCCCCACAAGGAATCTCCTGGTCCTAGATCATCCCTCCCACTTTCTTGGCCCCAAGACACCCTCCAACATGATTTTCAGCCCGGGCCACCCCTCCAAGGTGCTTTTTCGTCCCAGGTACACCCCCTCCCTCAATACATAGCGCTCGTGGGTCTCATCTGGGAAGGGCAGTTTCCGGGAGAAACTCTGCGTGTAGACCTCCAGCCCTACTGATCGCATCGTCCGCTCCAGCCAGGCCACTGGCAGAGCCCTGGAAACACAAAGAGAGCTTCTGCACAGGGCTCCCCGGCCTTGGCCACCACGGGCTTCCCCATGTCCACTGCACTGCTACTCACCCCGACTTTCTCCGGTAGGCAGCGAAGTCCCGAGCAAAGACCCGGGCGCGTTCTCCGCCCACAAACTGTTCTTCCACCATGGTGGACCCCATAGCGTTCTCCGACATGTAAGTTCGCTGGGTCAGCGGCGGGAAAGCCAGAGCCAAAAACCAGGCGATTCCTGCCACATAACTCAGCAGGCTGCGAGAGGCCAGAAGGACCCCGGAAGGCTAATTAGTGGTCCTGGGACGCCGGCTGTGGCCACTACCTCTGCACTAGGGGTCGCAGGGAACTAGACCCAGAGTCACGGCACCCAGGACTTCGGAACACTGAACCGCGGACCTGACACTGCGTGATGAAGAAGGTAGGTGCGGGCAGCCGCAGGGACCCTAGCTGTGAGCAGAGACTCTATAATTGTAGCCATCGGCCCCGCCTCCCCAGAGCCCATCCTTACCAGAGCGGTGCGTTCAGGCGCAGCACTAGGCGGGCAAGAGCGCGCCGGCGCACCGGGTCCGACAGGAGGCCCATAGCAGAGCGGGGGAGGGCGTGTAGCTTCGGTGCCCCGCTCCCGCCGCCAAAGAGGACCGTGGAGCGTGCGCTGCTCCTGTCAGACCCGGGGCCCCGCGCCTGGCCGCACTTCCGCTCCAAGTGACCCCCCCCCTTTGCGCCGCCGCGCAGGCTCACAGTAGAGCCCGAGGCCTAGCCAGCCCCTGCGCATGCTCAGAGCATTTTCACCGCTCTGCCTTACCCATTGCGCAGTCTCAGAGCTAGGGGACATGGGAGAGGGGCGGGACTGGGGTTTGGGTTTCCCAGTCCATTGGGAGATGCCTAGGAGAGGATCGTACCGATTACGTCAGAAGAAAGCAGAGCCCGCGCCAGGAAGGTCTCAGACAAGTACGGGGTAGGTGGGTGGAGAGCCGGGGGTGGCCACAGATGCCCGCCCGTAGGCCTTATGAATGAATGACTGTAGTGTGGGGACAGAAGGGCCTCCTGTGAAGTGAGGCTCAAGCATTGGAAGATCATTTTTATGGATGACAGCCACCAAGAACAGTGGGTGCGACCTAGTAGAGTCATCTGGATTCTGGGCTCAGAACCAGGGTCATCAGGGTCAGACGTAAGACCCTGTAGGGAAGCTGCATATCGAATTGTGGGTCAAAATGAGCTTCAGCTTCAGTACAGCTAGGGTGTGTGGAGCAGAAATCGAGGAGTATATTCTTGTCCAGGTCAGGGCTCAGGCACATCTGAAGGCAGGAGGTAGTGAAGAGGGATTTGCTTAAGAGGGTGCATGGTGGGCCAGGGGAAGGTCCAAACTGAGGCAATGACCAGGTGAGAACGGGTCTGTTGTAGTTTTAAAGCAGAAAAGGCCTAGGGGGCTCCTAGGGGACGAAGGGAATTAGTCCACCCTATCATTCTGTGTCTTTGTGGTGGGTACTCACAGCCAGCCAAGTTCTGCCTCAGGCCTTCTGCTGAGGTAAGCATGGCAGGCTACTCTGAGGATGTGGATCTTTCCCTTCATGGTCCAGGCTGCTCTTTCCTCCCAGGGACACCCTCACCTCACTCCCCTCCTCTGTTTTACTTTCCAGAGTTTGAATCCTGAGGGTACAAAGAGGTGTGTAGTTCACGTGAGCAGGCAGCACACCAGTCATGCCCAGGAGATAGCACCAGGCCTTGCTGTGCTGGACTCTGTTCTGGAAGCACTGTACAGTGAGAGGTGTTGAGCAGAGGAACAGGGCTTTATTCTGGACATGGGTGGCCAGGTGCTTAGTCCCCCAGCAAGATAGAGGCTTCATGCACATGCTGTCGGACCACACGGTCCAGCAGTGTATGCACATCTCGGGCAGCCTGGGCAGCAGCTTCTAGCACACACTCTAGGTGGTCCTCATGCAGCCGGGCATCCATCTCAAGTAGTGCGATCTGGCCTGAGGCTGGCAGCAGGGCCAGTGCCAGCTGGGGACCACCAGCTGCTTCTTCCACATGGCTGAGGTCTGCCAGGGCTGTGCCGTCCACAAAGCCAGCTGAGCACGCACACACAAAGTCCCGCATGGGTATCCCAGCATCCAGCACTGCCAGTGTGGCTGCATTCACACAAGCTGCGTATGTCCCACCATCTGCCTGTAGAACCTGCAGAGACCCCATAAATCTATCAGACTGCTTTCTCACCCTCTAGCACTCCAGCTGTCCTGATACTCTTCAATCCCCTTCCCTCCCTCGTTGAGGGCTGTAGCTGGTTTACCTGCACATAGATGTCAATCTGGGAGCGTGGGTGCAGCTGTGTGAGAATGGCTGCCTCAAAGGTCTGGCGTAGTTGAAGGCCCATCTCACAGGACTTCCGGTCCCCATGTGGCCGTCGTTTGCGCTCACCTGTGCTGAAGGTTGCTGAACTATACTGACAGTTCACCAGGGCACGGTCAGGCAGGGCTCGAGACCGGGATCCCCGAATCTGGAAGAGAAAGGACAAATAAACCAGGCCTACTTCTCCCAGCTCATATTCCTTAGTTCTCTGTGGCTCAAGCTCCCTTTCTCTTCTCCCTCCAGTGTCTCAGACAAGGGCAGCTACTTTATCTCCAAAATACTCAGGGGAGGTCGTTTGCCAGTCTGAGTCACCATCACCTCTGTTGTGCATGCCCCTTTTCACGCTTGCTCCATTTCCTCCCAACTCATTCTCTATCTGGTGTGTTCACAAACATCAAGTCTGATTCTGCCTCACCTCCATGCTCACATTCTACTTACCTTTCAACGGCTTCCCATTATGTGTAAATTAAAAATTCTAAATCCTTTCTCTGGTCTACAAAGTCCTGGGTCCTCACTTCCCTGAAAACTCTAAAATCTCATTTGTAATTATCCCCTGCCCCACCAACAGTCGTTTTGCTCTGCAGAAATCCCATGGTTGTTTCTACCAATGGCCTTTTGTTTTGTTTTGTTGAGACAGCGTCTCGATGTGTAGTTCAGGCTGGCCTTGAACTCACAATGTAGACCAGGCTAGCCTCGAACTCCAAGCGATCCTCCTGCCTCAGCCTGCTGGAATTACAGGCGAGCCACACCACTCCTGGCTTCTTCCACCTTTTAAAGAGCTGGGCTCCCAATGCACTAAGCAAACATTTTTTAAATTTCTGCGTTGGCTGGGCCTTGCTAGTGTTGAATAAACACTGTATATTCAATTAAGGCAGATGGTTTTATTTAAAAGCCCAGTTCTCCGGAAATTTATGTTCCAAGGGAGAAGACAAAGGATGAGAAAGTAAAACTGATGTTTGAGGTGGTAGGTGCAGAAAGGCAAGGAAGCGCGTTGTAGTGGACTGCACGTCATCCCGACCGTGACAGGGGTGTAGAGAGGTGAGGGAGCGAGTGGCAGAGCCTGGCACGTTGAGGAATCGCAGAGAGGAGTGCACGGCCCACCATGAGGTGCTCTGTGAAGACCTTGGCGTTTACTCGGCCCTGAGCTTCAGCTCCGTAATCGGAGACTCGCCCCACACTCGCCTCGTGCGGCCCATAGACCACGGCCAGAGCCTTGGTGTTGCCCTGCTCGATGTATGCCGAGCCGTCGGCCTGCGCGAACACCCCCATCCGCGCCTGGATCTTGCGCAGCTCCCCAGCACGCCGCCCGTCCACCCGGTAGCCTTGGTCCGACAGAAGTTCCAGGCCCGCCATGCCGCTAGTCCCGCTCTCTGCCTTCCAGAGAAGTAGGCTCCCGACAGCCCCAGTGGGTCAGATCTACGGTCTCTGGCGGCGTGGTTCCTTCCGGTCCCGGAACGACATTTTCCGGCGTTCCGGCCTTCTGGTTCCGGGTAGCTATGGTTCCTGGCGGCTCCAGGCCGCTCGAATGTACGGTTTCCTGCCGCCCTGCCAACCTTCGGGTGTTCCAAGGAACTCCTAATCCCTGCAGCCCTGGTCCTTCAAATGTAAGGGCTTCCGCGGCCCCGCTTCCTACATCCGGGCTCTGGGAGGGAAGGTGGAGGTCCTCCCGCCTCATAGTCTCGGGGTCGCATCTCTGCGCAGCTCTTGTGCACGCGTCGCTGGACTTCTCCTTGGCCCCAGCTACCGTGGGGAGGAGACGGCCTCAGGGTATATTTCACCCAAGTTGAGGCTTTTT